TCACCCAAAGTTCAGACACTACTCTCTTTATCTTGATTTCACCTATACTAGTTCTCAAGAAGATGAGTCATTATCTGAGGTCAGCCACGAGTTCTCATTTGCACTCGACGTGGAGCACTCCAGGTCCACATCGTCCATATTCGAGTCGCAGTCCGAGGTCAGAAACGAGTCTTCATCGGTACTCGACGTGGGGTACTCCAGATCTGTCTTGTCCACATCGGTACTCAACGTGGTGTACTCTAGATCTGTCTTGTCCACATCTGAGTCATAATCGGAGGTCAGACATGAGTCCTCGTCCCCATACACAGCTGCCAGATCCGCGTTACGCGTCGCTTTCACGTTGAAACTCCTCGTACAGTTTGTCAATCTCTTCGCACGTTGCCTGAACCTTTTCAAAGCAGTTTCTCATAATTACATTCGAGTAAACAGCAAATGTACAGAAAATATCTCGAAGCGTTATGCGACCCCACTTGAACAAGAGGATCAGACGCGCGAACGAAACAGTCATTCCGAGTTTCCAGTTCCCCCAGAAGAAACAAGCAGACTGCCACTGTGACTGCTCCTTTTCCAAGATGAGGAAACATATCCGGAACAGGTTATCTCTTTGAGCGCGCGTCAGCTCCGGCGTCTCGTCGAAGCAGTGCGTGTGCGCGTATTGAATGAACAGATGCGCCAGACGTTCATGCGCCTGCGTCTTTCTTGTGCCCCCTCTCCTGAAAGCCTCCATCATCTCCTCCAGGTCACGGACGATGCGTCTGTAGGTCCCCAAGTTCCTCACGAAGCTGTTCCCCATTCGGTCCACGCCGTAGCCGTCGAACAGCGGGCGGGACGCGGCGCCGCCGGCTGCAGCAGACGTCTCGGTGCGGTGCTCGCAGTGGACCACCGTGCCCGACGAGTCCCCGACCATGTAAGTCTCCACGGGACCGAAGCCTCGCCTGCGGCCGGGGGGAATGCCTCTGAAGGTGCGGCGCAGCGGCCTCCCGCCCCGGAAGCTCTCGGACGCGTTGTAGGACCCGGCGAGCACGACCAGCGTCTCCTGGAAGAGCCTTGCGGCGGCGATGACCACTCGCGCGCTCGTCCCCCTCAGGTCGATGGGGTCCGCTGCGTGGCGTCCTGAACTGGTGCCGCGCGACCCTCGCCATGTGACGGCGCACTCGCTGGGAGCGGAGGCCGAAGAACCTCACCGCCGCCCGGTGCCTGGACCGCTGGCGTCGGCTGGCCGTCGCGCCGGCGGGGAGGGGCGGCAGCGCGTCGTACGCGCCGTCTAGGAGGCGGCGAGCGAGCGCGGGGTCCGTGCGGCCGTCGCGCAGGTAACGCTGCCACGCTCGCCTCGCCTGGCTCCCGGCAGAGTCTACCCAAGAGACTTGGTCTACCTCAACCTCAGAGTCACAGAAGCGCTCGCTGCTCCTTCGAGTTGAGCTGCTCCTTTCTTCGTCAGAGTCGTCGCTAGTTAACACAGGGTCCACGGCAGGGTAATGAGTGTGTTTGGTGGAGCCATCGACAGATGCAGATTCTCTTTTGCCGCCACCGAGGCCGCCACTCTTGCGGACGAACGCGACGAGACTCCCCACCACAACAACGGCGGTGACTGCCGCCAACGCCACGACAGTGGACAGGCACAGGTCGGCCGAGGCTACCGCTCCCCTCCTCGCCACTGCTGCGCCAGCTCCAGCAGTCGGAAGAACCATGATCCCCGTTCGCGCGAGAGCACCTGCAACAACGTTAGGCCTATATACTGCGCAGGTGTACAGTACAGTGTTGGTGTGAGCAGTTTATCATACCTGTAATTGAATATTAGTCTCACACTAAGCAATAGCAATATGTATCTGAACACCCAGAGAAATGATTAGCAATGGCAACCATCATATGGTTCGCTCAGGGAGCACCATAAAATATGGTTGATGCAACCTTACCGTGGTAGTGAGAACCAAAAATATGGTTTTCATCACGTTATCACTGTTGTCTCAACCATATTTTATGGTACTCCCTGAGCCGACCATCAGATGGTTGCCGTT